AAAAAAAAAAAAAAAAAAAAACTTGTATTAAGCTAAACAAGCCCTGTAAAGCTGACAGATTCTAGAGTTTTATACCAGATTTTTGGGGGTGGTGGTGGTACTGGGGATTGAACCCTAGGCATTTGTACTGAACTATATATCTCAGGCTTTTTATTTACTTTTTTCTTTTTTTTAAAATTTTGAGACAGGATTTTGCTGAGTTGCTAAACTGCCCAGGCTGGGCTCAAACTTGTGATCATCCCGAGATCCACTAACGGCTTCTAATTCTGATTTTTTTCACCCCCCTGTCCGCTTTTGTTATTGGTTATACAGATTAATGGGTTTCATTTTGGCATACTTGTACACTTACATTATACACTTTGATCACTTCACCCCCATCATCCTCCCCACTCCTAACCCTTAATTTCATATGGAGGGTTCAATGTGTATTATAAGTATATGCCTCAATGAAAATATACTTGTTTTGCAGCTACATTACTAAAGAAGTATTTTTATCTTTAGAGCATTCACATCTTTAAAAATAACTTTTGTTTAATTTCATGAATAGTTAATGTCTTTCTAGCCTTCAACTGTAGAAACTAACACTGATGGTAAACTGACTAAACATAAGGGGCCACTAGTGATAACTTGGCATCATTTAGGAATGTGGCCTTACTTACTTATTCTAAGAAGTCTAAGAAGGTTGTAAGCATATTAGTGTTTCCGTATACTTCTAACCTGATTTCAAAAATTTTTGAAAGTGTCTAATAATGAAGCAATTAATTTGTTTTCCAAACAAATCATTTTTCATCCTGGTTCTAACCAACTAAAAACTCAAGGAAGTATCACAGAAAAAAAGAACAAGAAAACAGAGAGAAAAATTAGAAAAATTTTAAGGTTAATCCAGCAAGCACTATCTAAATAGTAATTTATAGTGAAAGAGCAGAAAATGTCCCAAAACTGAAGGACATGACTATTTAATTTCATAATGCAGAATTAAAATTCCAAATGCTTTCAGAAAGAAAATAAAATCTCACAAAAAACACGAGGAATAAGAATGTCTTTTAACTTCTTTGCAGCAATAACAAAACTTCAGAGAAAATTATTGCCAATATGGTTCTGCATTCAAGTTAAATTTACAGTTATGTGTGAAGTTAGAATAAAGACATTTTCATTCCTCGATGGCCTCAAACATTACTTCTCATGGTACTCTTTTCTCTCTAGTACCAGGGATTGAACTCAGGACCTTGTGCTTGCAAGGCAGGGGTGGTACTCGCCTGTGATGGTATTCTTTTATCAAGAAAAGAATGCTATCAAATGACACAGAAAAATTAAGAAAGAGCAGCAATATAGGATTCAGGAAAGAAATAATATAAAAAGGAAAGAAGCAAAAGCAAGTCTTAAATTAATGGAAGAAGAAGCCTCAAGACAAGGACTGTAGTAGAGCAGGTCTTGAGAGCAACCAGTCTACACCAAAGTATAAGGAGAGACTTCCAGAGATATGTTTTGCAGAAGAACAAACACATGTGGAACTAATCTTAGAGATCCTCAAAATTAGCAACAAGTACTTATTGCAATAAATGAAAAAACAGTGGCAATATTTAGAAAAAGAGAAAAGTTATAAAGAATAACTATATAAAAAACTTAGTTTTTTTGAAAAATTTTAATACGGGAAGATAAGAAGTATTGAATTCATATATGTATATAAGAAAGCTAAATCTTCATTTATCATAAAAGGAATTAATAAATTATGTCTAAACTTGGTAAAACATTGGTATAACATATCATTTAGAAATGGAACAGACATGCCGGGCATGGTGTTGTACCCTGTAATGCCAGTACTCAGGAGTTTGAGGCAGGAGCAGAGGCCTGATTTTTTAAATATATATATATATATGTGCCTTCAGTAACACTTGACTTTTGAAAGTAAATATATATGTAACTTTGATTTTAAAAAGAAAAGCTAAGATAAATGTAGAAAGTGTCAAGCAGTGATCTAAACACTATACATTTATTAAAAATAATCTTCCCAAAAAGCTTTTAAAGAGCAAGTGCTATTTTATCACCATTTAAAATGGCAGAGGGACTAAATAATTAATGCTAGAAACAGCTGAGATTTGAATCATACAATAAAATTCATGACAAATATTCTTAAAATAATAACAATATTACACTCAATAGTCCTATCGTGAAGTGAAAAATAATTTTTTAAAATTCTAGTTAATATAAAATGTTGAAGAATGAAGGGCGTGAAGGAAGGGCAGGGGTATGGAGAAAAATAAGAACCAAGGCATATCATATACAGGTACAAGATCCCTAACATAAATGTAACTGTATTGTTTGCTTTAAATGCACCAATAAAATTGATGGAAAAAAAAAATCACTATAATACTGAATAAAAATTCTCCATAGCTGTTAAACAGTAAGCTCAAGCTTTTATTTTCTGTTTAAAACAAAATACATTCCTTCAGTTAGGTTTTGTACTACTATATTATTTCCCATCTGCTGTTAAACTAACAACTGTCCTATATTTACTCATTTTTATTTTAAGCCACTCTTTGGGTAAAAAATTTCATATAATAAAAAATGTAAATAAACAAGAAAAGTTACAATAACATTTAAACTATTTATAAAGAAAGAAGTGTAGCTGAACTACTGAGGCTGCAAGCAAGATGCTGGTGGCCATGGGTCCCTACAGAGTCCCAGCCAAGCAGCTCTGACTGCGTGAAGATGGGTTTTGTGATGGGTTGTGCCCGAGGGCATGGCAGCTGGGCCACTCTTCAGCACCTTTTCCTGTCTCAGGATCAGAATTTGGGGTCAGGAGCTGATGGGCAGCACTGAGAAAACCATGATGCAGAGTGGTGGCACCTTTGTCACATTCATGACCATCAGAATGGGCAGAAGATGCTAACCAGGGCAGTATTTGCCTGATACATCTATACCTTCCCATCCATCCCAGCCCCTGTACTATAATAATTTTTTCTGCTCAAGAAAAAAAAAAGTGTAAACAACAGGGAATATGTCATAAGAATTATAATAACACCAGTATCCTTAAAGATACATTCAAATTAAAAAATATATAAACAAGATTTTATACCTGATCTTAGCCAAAAGGCCAAGAAGTGATTATAAACCAGATTTTAAAGGGCACTATGAACAGGTAACATACAGAAAAGCAAATTCAATCTCTGTACTCTTAAGGAAAACATAACTGGGAAAGAGATTTATATACTCTTCTCTACCTCCTGGCAATACAAAAAATAATTTTAACAACAACCACAAAGCTGCAGCGAGGCAGCATATTCACTCAGTGCCACTGGAAACACAAGCTGATACAGACTTTCTTCTAGGGAGGAATTTGGTAAAAATATGTGACAGTATTTCACTACTAATCTAGTTAAGAAAATAATTTAAAATGCAACTTTAGTATCAGATGAGCACAATATTAGAACCAACAAATGCTTAGAACTGGGGGAGGGAAAGGATGCTTACATATATTGTGATAGAGCTAAGTAAAACGAACATGAACGTTTGAATAACACAAAAATTAATATAAAAAAGTCTTTCTAAAAGGATTTCAAAGTTGTGACAAATAAACCTGTGGATCTGAATGTTAGCCATCATGTTACGATGTGTAGTATTTTTTTTTTTTTTTGGTACTGGGGATTGAATTCAGGTCCTTGTGCTTGCTAGGAAGGCCAACGAACCGCTGAGCTAAATCGCCGGCCCCGATGTGTAGTATTTTTAAAAAATTATTTTGATTATCCAAATTATCTTCAGTAAGCATGAAATAATTTTACAGATAGAAAAGGCACAGTCTGATTGTGTATAGGGTTACTTCACATACCTTGGTGGCTGTTACTGATGTAGCCAAGTTTGTAGTTCTGGAAGAAGAACCATTAGAACTTGTGGGTGGTGTCTGAGCTACTACAGATTTACTGTTTGTACTGTTTGTTCCATTAGTAGCACTCGCAGAGTGGGAGAATGTAAATTTGAAGCCACCAGAAGATGTCCTTTTGGGAAGGTTTTCCTTGTCTTCACTTTCTTTTGCTAAAGCAAAAGTAAAAATTTAAACCATTATCAGTTAAGTACTGCTAAATCAAACCTTCTGAAAGAGCAATAAAATTTAAAAAATGATTACTTTTGCTTTCTAACAGCTAAAAGAGTACAAGAAGTTTATTGTGATATGTCTTTGTCAGAATACTAGAAATCTATGTATTAGAAAGAACCTCAATAGTAATGTAACATGAGGGGAATGGAGAAAAATAGAAGAACCAAGATAACATCATATAAAGATACTAGATTGCATTGATTAATGATTAATGTAACTGTATCGTATACCTAAAATGTACCAATAAAGAAAGAAAAAATCATGTAACAAAATCAGTGGTTCAATTCTAAGGTACAATTCTCTATAGTGCTGTACCTAGTATTCACTTGTAAAGCTTCACTAGCTGTCCAACTCTTCCTTTTACTCTCTTCTGTTCACTGGCTCTACACTTCTTTACCCCTTAATAACCTAATAACCTCTCCTACAAGTCAATATTTCAAATGCCTGAAGACAATGATCAAACCTAGCGGTCACATAATCCCTGAATAGTCCATATTCCTTTATGTACTTCTTTTTATGGCGGAAGTGTCCAGTCCCTTTAATATCTGGTTACTTCTATTTTTGTATATGATTCTTAAATGCACAGCACTCAGTACTGGATGCAATACTTCAAGAATGGCTTTACTGTTTTTGGCATTCGTGAGTCCAGTATCTATGACTAACAAAAGAATTTGTCTACAAAAAGGTTCCTATTCTTTATGACATTTTAATAGGCTATTTGCTCCCCTAAGGTGAAGTAAATAAAATACAACCAGTGGGAAGGGGAGTGAAACTGCCAACAAGAATTTCAAGGAAAAAGTAATAAATCAATGAAATGAAATTTCTAATAACAACTGCTTTTAGAAAATGTCCCTTTTTTTTCTTCTGAGTTTATCAGTACTTTTAAAATGTACAGTACAGTTACATTTATCATTTGGATCTTGTACCTTTACATGACAGGTCTTGGTTCTCATTTTACCCCATACCCCCGCCTGCCCTTCACCCCCTCCACCATTCCCTATTACAAAGACTTTATTTCCATTTTTTTTGTTTTCTCATATTTTTTCTTTTCCCTTATTTCCTTTCCCCTACCCTTCCCACTTCCCCTACACCTTTAGCCCTTTTCTTCCTATTGTCAATTATACAATTTGGATCTTATTTACACTTTTAGTTTTTCACACCAGAGAAACTACTTGGTATTTACACATGTGTCTTATTTATTTCACTTAAGAGTATGGCCTTAATATGCATCCATTTTCCTATGAATGACTCTGGTTTCTCATTCTTTATGGCTGAGTAGTCAAAAATTCATCTGGAACCAGAAGAGACCTAGAATAGCAGAAGCAAAATTCTAGGCAACAGAGATAAACTAGCATAAAGAATCAACAACTGGGATCTCATCTTGTTTAAAAGCTTCTGCACTGCAAAAGAAAACACCAATAGAGCTAAGAGACAACCTACAATGTGGAAAAATATTTTTACCAGCTGCTCCTCAGACAAACGACTACTATCTAGAATATATAAAGAACTCAAAAAAATCAGATCCCCAAATATAAAGACCCAATTCAAAAATGGGCATTTGAAATGTACAGACATTTCTCAGACAAAAAAAAGCAGCAAATATATATATATATATAATGAAAAAATGTTCCATATCACTGGTCATTCGAGAGATGCAGATGAAAACAACACTGAGATTCCACCTCACCCCACAAAGAATGGCTATCAAGAAATCAACCAATAAGAAACGCTGGTGAGATTGTGGGGAGAAAGGAACCCTTCTTCATTGTTGGTGGGAGTGCAGAGTGGTGCAACCACTATGAAAATCAATATAGAGATACCTCAAAGAACTATGACTAGAGGTTCCATTTGACCCAGCTATCCCTCTGCTGGGTATCTTTCCAAGAGAATTAGAAGAATCATACCACAGTGATATATGCACACCCACTATTTATAGCAGCACAATTTGTAATAGCTGCCCATCTGCCCATCAGTTGGAGACTGAATAAAGAAAATGTGGATTTTCTATAGAAAATGTCACTTTTAAAACAAGTTCAGGAAATACTTTTGACGTAAAACATATAAATTTTGATTAAACATTTAAGTGAAATTTGTAGGGTAATTCTTCAAAACTAGAAATTCCTCAGGCCATAAAATTAAAGTGACTAAAAGATACTAGTAAGATCTTACTTTTAAAAAACAAGTTAAATATATATGAAAGCCAGGAGAAAGTTTAACATTTTCTCTTATTATATCTTTAAGCAACTTGTAAAATTTCAAAGAGTAAAGTTACTTCTTTAAGCTCAGTTTCCTAAGCTGTAAAAAGCAGAGGTGAAAGGCTCTAGCAGGGTTCTATGGATGTATTGTCTTCATTGTTCACTACTAATAGAACTCTGTAATAAATATAATAATAGAAATAAAATCTCTATTGGGATTTTAGCATAGAAATTAAGCCAATACTATTCAGAGAGGTTAATAAGTAGACAACGAAATTTCTAAATAGAAAATGAACAGAATAAAAAAATGGAACGATTCAAGGAAAGCATTTTAAATATGAAAAGAACTCCCAGATTTTGAAAAAGCATTTAATTTAAAAGGAAGTTCTATGACTAGACCATCCAAAGCAACTGAATAATTTCTGTACTACATCAAAAGAAGGCACAATACAAAAACTCAGAATATTAATACCTTTCTTAGTTTCCATAAATTTTTCGTAACTATCTGGAAAATCATCTTCTGTCTTAGATTTTTCAACTGGTGTCACCACTGCTTTTCCTTCTTCCTCTTCATCTTCATTAAACCACATTTCTTCATCCTCTTCCAAGGCTTTTGTATCTCTGCGAAATCTGTTACTACGCAATATAGATGGTACACTGTAAGAAATATATCATAAATAATGAGTAATGATTTAAAGCTTATTACAAGGTTAAATTATACAGGAAAAAAATATATAACCAAGAGGAACAAATAATTTTAATTATATAAGTTATATCTAAATCACCTCATTATGATACAAAATGTAGATAAAGAACTATCCAAAATGTTTGTGCATGTTATAAACTAAACTAAAAACTCGTCTTGAGTTATCATACAGAGTAGTAATTCATCCTATAATGAATCTGTAGTATGGAGGACAGCCTACCCATTACCTTGGGCTACTGCTATCTAGTCAGAAAGAAAATTCCTCTATAAATGTCACACGTAACATCTAAAGTATGTGGACTTTTTTTTTGTAGGCTATAAATACAATATACTTAAACAATACCTGTTTAGTTTCTGATTTTGTCTGTCTCTTTCTTGCTCATATTTAGTCTTCAATCCTTTGAATGTCTGAACATATTCAATCGATTCAAGTGCTTTATAAAAATTTTCAACTATATGTGCAGTAAGAGACTTGATATCTTCCTGTATAAGCATAAAATTTACATTTCAAATACAATACAATGCTTGTTAGAAGACAAATAAAATGTTTTTTCTTATAGTTCGAAAGCTGAGCAAAAAAGTTTTTCAAAATCATCTTCCAAAAATAAATGTCCCCAGTCTCTTTCTACATGAGCCCGGACTCCACAGAAAACTTGGAAAAAAGAAGCAATACACTGAAGTCCTTTACAGGGACTACAAAGAACATTTGAGAAGTAAACAGATTCAGTTTATGTCTATTATTTATATTTATAAAGCACTTTACAATTTAAAAAAAAGTTTTACTACACTCATTTTATAAAAATAAATTGAGGCTCTGAGAGAGGTTGGATGTTTCATCAAGAGCACACAGCTTGTTAGAGGGCAAATGTTAAAATCATTTTCAACAAATAGGTGTTTAATGACTTTCTGTTTAAGTGCTACCAAAATAATGTTAGTTTTCTTTGACATTATTATATATACAAATCTAATAAACTACTTATTTGGAATTCTACTTGTCTATTTTTTTGCGGGGGAGGGTACTGGGGATTGAACTTGGGTCCTTGCGCTTGCAAGGCAGGCCACTGAACTGCTGAGCTAAATCCCCAGCTTTACTTTTTTCTCTTTTTTTGTGTGTACTTGTCTACTCTTTAAGTGTTCCTAGTGTATTTGGAATATAAGGGTAAGTCTTGGTATTTAATGCATTCAACTTATTACTCAAATTGATTCTTAGAGAAACATTCAATCAGGAACAGGGATAGGGTTCTGAACCCTACACATTTCCTTTTATCATGTATAAAGTATCTCACCAAATTTTTAAAGGAAAAAAGTTCTGATTCATTGGAACAATATACTATGAACCTGAAGCTATCTAGTGAGATAGCTGATTATGTTCTTTTCTAGGGTAAAGACTATACTTCTATCCTCTTCATCCTTTCAAAAGTCATATTCTTGGAAAGTGACCACTCTTAGAAAAATAGTCTAGTCAGCCAAAAAATCTTCATATGAGAATAGCAAGTCATCAGTGGAAATGATTTTTAAAAAAAGGCTGGGGATTTAGCTCAGTGGTTCTAGCACCTGCCTCGCAAGCACAAGGACCCGAGGTTCAGTAATCCCTGATACCAAAAAACAAAACCAAACAAAACCCCAAACCCAAAACTAGAGAATTTCTAGTTTTTTTTAAAACTCTTCCCAACTACACAGCCATTTCCTTGGTGGAATTAATTCTATGTGTATATGTGCAAGACTGATATTTACTGTACTGTTTCTATAGTTATCTGTCTTATTTCAATCTTTGATATACAGTTCTCTTCAGATTTTTTTTTTTTTTTTTTGAGGTGGTATAGGGGACCTTGTGCTTGTGAGGCAGGCATGGGGACACTGAGCTAAATCACCAGCCTGTCTTCAGATCTTTCTATGACAAATGTTTTGTTGCCTCGAACTGAGCTGGGAGTTTCAAGTGCTTACTGTATGGATGCTCATAAAAAGGTCAGTGAACCACTTCAGGTATCTTAATTTTCTCAACTGCAATACAGGGTAGTTGTTCTAGTTCATCAAACTTCCTGGTCTCTTCAACTTTAAATTCTAGGATTTCATCCTATCAATGACCACTGAAGAAATTATTTTTCAATCTCTCTTCATTTTTATAACTATTCCTATAACAAACTACTTTTTTAAAGGAGATCACACGAATGGCATGCTTGTTGAAAATGTACATATATGTTAAATCTGATGTTGAAACACTGGGGCAATATAAATGGAACTGAGAAAATTGAATACAGGTTAAAAAATGACTACATCTCACACCTCAAAATTTTGGGCTGAGGCAGTGGCTCAGTGTTAAGAGCACCTGCCTAGCAAGCATGAGAACCTGGTTTGACCTCTAGCACCAAAACAAACAAAATAATAAAACAGAAAGCACATCACTACATCATAATCCTGTGATAAGTAAGAATAAAAAAGTAATTCATTTAAAAATTTTAGTTTATTGGAAACATTCTAAGGCACAGGATAAATTTTAGGTAAGTAAGAATGCAGAAATCATTTTCCTTAAATGCAGTAATTTTACTTTTACATATAAATAATTCTTTTATATGTAGTTACTGAGAGTTCTGTAATACAGACTTACCACTCTTATAAACTCAAACAACTCAATAACTGCTGAATTCAACAGATTGTACCGAGTTCCATTATCCAGAAGAGCATTAATAACTGGCTCAAAAAGATTTCCCTTGGTGATATAACGATTGTAAAATTCATCTTTAAGGCCAATTATCCGTCTCATAAAACGAAGAGCACCTAATTAAAAATAATACAGAAAATAAGCTGACAATCTTACTAATATTATTTTACAAATGCGTTTGCCATGTTCTTCTCAAATATAAAGTAAAATTGTGCACTGAAAAAAATTGTGCTTTCAGAAAAATAGTTTGTGGAAGGGAAGATAGCTTAAAACTTGCACAATTCTGTAATCAGTGCTAACAATAGAAAAAAGAACTGGAATGTGGGAGATGAATAAACTTCCAAGGTGGTTGGCTGTATGGCAAAGGCAAGAAAAATATACAAAATCCACACAATACAATTTCTGGTAACAATTAGAGCAGAGTTGATGGATGCAACGAATGCAGCTCAGAATAAGTGGGGGCATAGGATGCGCACAGAAATGGTGTAGGCGTCTCAGATATATAGGCTGTCTTCCTTCTCTGGCTTTGGAAGCAGATAGTTCTTTTCAATTTCCTGAAAATATTGTCAAAGGGACTACCAGTAACATAAGAGATTCAAATTTTTTTGTTTTTTGAGACAGGATCTCACAATGTAGTATGTAGTTTAGCTTTTGTTGTTTTGCTTTTTTGAGACAGGTTCTTGCTATGTCATTTAGGCTCGTCTTCAACTTGCTATGTAGCCCGTGCTTAGCTTTGAAATTATGATTTTGCTGCCTCATCCTTCTGAGTGCTGAGATTACAGGTGTGTATTACAATGCCTGCCTTAAAATGTCCACAGTGGGGTCGCAATTACTCTGTCTTGCTGCCTGCCAGGTGTCTGATTTGAATTTAATTGATGTAAATAACTAACTACTGGTAGTTTAAACTGCTCAATAGGATAGTCATGCATTGTACTACCAGTGGTTCACATCTGGGGAATGTGCTTAAGGTTTCTGTTGCTGTTGTTTTGTTTTACTTTTCCACTGGAAGCCATAATTCCTTTACCACTATTCTAGCTCCCCTTAGTATGGAAATCATTTGTGAAACAACACTACTTTTGCATTATGACATTTGTTGTTTACCAATTCTGTATGAGCTATTTTGCCTTGGAAAAATATGAGCTGTAGATCAGGTTATATTTATAGAAGAATAAACTGGAATGAGATGTGGCTCAGTGGCAGTGTGCTTGCCTAGCTGCGTCACAACAACAACAACAACAACAACAACAACAACAACACACACACACAGTCAGTCACGCATGATGGTGTACAGCTGTAATCCAATGCTAACCCAGGAGGATTGCTGCCAAGTTCAAGGTCAGCCTAGACTACAGAGTGAGTTTAAAGCCAGCCTACAATAGTGAGATTCTTTTGCAAAACAAATAGAAAAGACAGAACAGAAAAAATAGAGTAATTAGTAAGCAGTATAATTTTACTTTTCACATTTTAGAATACTAAAAAAGAAATGCTTCTTAACCAGATTTTCTAGCTAAATAAATTTAGTTATGTATTACTGATAAAATTATTATGGAACACCAAGAACTGTAATTTCAGTCCTTTAATCTTATATCTACTGACACTAACTTGTAACTTACCCCCTTAGTTTAATTTATTCTACAAACCCCATCAGTTAAGGCTTCTAACTTTTCAATGTCAATCTCTCAATTCAACTCTCTTTTTAAGGGTGGAAGAAGTTATGCCTATTAGAATAGGTTATAAATACTGTTAGAATACAATAGTAGTAGGATAAAAATGTATGTTATCTTGACATCAAACAAGTGTGGGCAGAAGTGCTAGACTTACAACATCACTGCTTTCTTTGTGCCAGAATGAGAAACAGTTTACTTAGGATTAAAACAGCTGAAGCACCAAGAAGGTATGAGCATACAGGCAGTAATATATTGCTAGGAAATGAATTGACCAGCACACAAAGCTAAGATTGTAACAATACTGCTTATAATAATGGGAATCCCAAAACTATATAAATATTTCAACAATGGAGATCCATTCAGTTAGGTAATATCCATATTAATAGGAGTATCTTATGGTTATTTATAAAAAAAACCAAGAAAACCTGCCACAAAACATCAATTCTTTCAAAATTAATATACAAATATAATGTAATTCCAATAAAGATAAACAGAATAAAATTGTTTTTCATTTTTTGTAGAACAAATGTCTAAGAAAACCAAGAAAATTATGAAAAAGGAGAGGATCAGTATATATTAAACCTTTTATCAGAAATATCACAACAGCATAAGAATAAATATCGCTGCCAGGCATGACTGCACATGTCTAATCTTAGCTATTCTAGAAGCTGAAGGAAGAGGATTACAAGTATGAGTCCAGCCTGGGAAACATAGTGAGAACCCCATCTCAAAATGAAAAATAAAAAGGCGTGGTGGTGTAGGTCAATGCAGAGGCCTGGGTTCAATCTCTAGTACCCTCCGAAACAAACAACAAATATAAACAAACATTGCTATTATTTCATGTGCTGAGATTAAAGATCAGAAAGTCCAGAAATAAGATACATGTATATCTTTAACTTACTGCATAAGTGATATTTTAATTTTGTGGGGAAAATATAGTTTTTTTAATAAGAGTTTTGGCATGGCTGGCTATCTAGCAAAGATAAAAGTAGATTATCCTTCAAACCATACCCAAATACAGATTTCAGTTATTTTATATACAAATATATGTAAGTGATTAAACAGAAAAAAAACTGAAAAGAATATTCATATCTTCTTCAGTCACAGAAGTCCTAAGACAAAACACCCAAAAGACATAAAAGACAATAAATCATATTTGTCATAAAGGATTTTAAAAGTTATATGAGAAACAATACCATAATTAAAGGCATAAAGGGACATTTCCCTCTAAAACATAAATTGTTAATATATCTAATATATAAAGAGGTCTAAGAAAAAGATCAACAGCAATTCACCACAGCTAAAAAATGCAAATTACACTACACGTGAAAAGATGCTATCCATGAAAATGCAAATTAGAAAGAAAATGGAATACCACATTTTCCATCATCAGATTTAAAGCATTTATTTAAAAGTACTAATACATGAAAGATCCTGTCTTCGAAAACTGGTGTGGGTGGAGGAGTGTGTATCTGGGTTGGGTAGGGCAGGGATGTAGCTCAGTACAAATGTCCTGGAGTCATTCTCCAGTACTGAGGAAAACAAAACAAGAAAGAGAAAAAGAGAAAAAGAGAGAGAGACAAACAAAAAGACAGACAAAGAAAAGGAAAAAGTACCTATAATAGATTGCTAGGAGAATGTCAAGTGTTTCAAGCTTATTGGGAAAGTCATCTGGCAGTTACATGTTGAAGTTCAAAAGGATTATTAAAATATAAAAAATGGCAAAGTATATTATTGAAATAAATAAGTATGAAAAAGATTAGTACAGTAGGCAAACCACAGTGCAGTTTGGAGTTGCTAAAAAGCAACAACAGTCTTGCAACCTATTCACTGGACAATGGTACACCAATCTGTGTAGTTATGTGACAAAATTACTAAATGATAATTCACAGAAGCAGGTCTAGTTCTATTAGTGAAATACTGTCATGCATGTGGTATTATACCACAACAAAAGGTAAGCTATCTGAATTTAAATGTGAGCAATGTATGAGTGGGGAACCATTATAACCTACTACTCTTGCCCTTAAGAAAAATAAAACACCAAACCCAAAACCAAGAGTAGGACTTCTCACAAACATTTGATATAATAGTGTTTACTGCTAGGTAAGTACTGTAACTTCAAATGTATTGCTTTAATTTTTATCTCCACCAAAAATATTATTTTTTCCTTTGAGACAGGGTTTCACTATGTAATCCAGGCTGGCTTGAACTCACTATGTAGCCAGGTTGGTCTATACCTCAGTAGTCTTCCACATCAGCTTCCTTGGTGCTGGTTGTGACACGTGACACTATGCCCGGCTCTCAAAAATGTTTCTTAAAACACTTTGCAATTTTGTTCATTTAAATTGTTACTTACACAAAGCCAAGAAAGTGTGCTTGGAATTCATCAAGACCAAGACTCTTCTTAGTAAGTCCTTGTTCATAATATAGTTTTTTATGTGGTAAGTGTGATGTTCCACACAAAATGTGAGTAATTCTAAAATTAAGGCAAGTAGCTGTGCTGTTTGATAATTATCTACAAAAGAAAGTCATCTCATGAAAATATATACCGTAAAACACCTAAAAAGAATAAATAACGCTTATTTCCTATACTTCAGAGCAAAAGTTAAAACTCTTCTACCATTTTCACATCAGTTAAAAAGGCTATAGATTTTTTACTTTTTAATTAGGCAGACTGAAAGTATTATCACTTTTACCTATTAAATATTTTTAAGGCTTTTATTTGTGCAAAAAATGTATTAAAAGAAAGAAAAACTCAATACCACAGATATGATAACAAAACAGTAATGTTTCCATAATATTAATACTAATGAATGTATAAAAGGTCCCACAGTACAGGAAACACCTCACATTTTTGCCCAAATAGCTCAATGAAAATTTCTTAAAATGCTTTCAACACACTTACAAGAAAAGGACATTTTGGGTATTTGAATAGCAAGTGAAAATAAGACATTGAAATTTTTAAACAATTTAAAAAATAATTCATTAATTCACAAAGAGAGAGTGCCATTGAAATAAAGCAGCCCGCTGCCCCAAAAGGCTTTGGTTTATACATTCATGGAATTACCTTGAATTGTTTCTTGAACATCAAATTTTAAATGTGTATCAAGGTGGATAATCATAGTCATACTCTTATGAACGCTTTAAGCAAGGAAGTTTAAGGAAGTTAAACTGAGGAGATTATGGAATCATATGCAGAATATAAAAAAATCAACACCACCAGGTATAACTATTTAAACAAGATTATATACCAAAATATTTTGTGGAACTAGGATGCAATCAGGAATAAGGTAGCATTCTATCTAATAACAGAATGGCCATGAAATAAAAAATATAATTATGGTATTTCAAATAGTTTCTACTTTAAATGTGAGTAAAATTTTATTTGCTTCAATCTAATCTGTATAAACAGCCATTGCATCATAGCCAAATTTTGAACTAGTTCCACACCATTTAAAAAAATTATTGGGCTCGGGATTTAGCTCGGTGATTCCACCACCTCACTTGCAAGCACAAGGTCTCAAGTTAGATTCCCGGTACCAAAAAAAAAAAAAAAAAAAAAAATTTTTAAATTCTTAAATTTTATTTACAAAAAATCTTAATATAATGATCTATAGTCTTAAATGTCTTGTTTTCACTTTCCTTCCTTAATTCTAGAAATTATTCGTATCTCTGATCTAATCTCTGAACAGACTCCTGATTTGAAAGTAGCTCTCTTGGAGCTTTGATGAGCCTGGCAGAAGAGATATAATGCTAGGTGCACAGAGCACATACATCTTCAATACTACCAGGCTTATATGGCTACACATGTTCTAAGTAAGTAGGACAATAGAGTTTGTTAGATTTAGGATTATAGACAATAAGCAACCAAATGTCATAAAGTGTAGTTTCTAACTAGTTTTAGTTTATTAGATTTAAAAAATAAAATATGAATTTGTACTTACCAGGACAAATTGTGTTGTTTTTGTTAGATCCAACAAATTTATCTAACAATAACAAAAAAATTACAATAAAATAGCTTAGTAACATCTTACATTTTCTTAGGATTTTATAATATACAATACCCATTTTCAATCACAATCTTCTTTAACTCTCATAATGACCATTAAGAGTGGATTGTTTTACTATGGGCATTGTGGTGCATGCTTGTAATACCAGCTCTTGGGGTTGAGGCAAGAGGATCACCATGCGTTCGAGGCCTGCCTGAATTATAAAGCCAGACCCTGTCTCAAAATACCAAAGATGGAAAAAACCCACCAAAAAAATAACAACAACAAAGAACTAAAGAATTGGTTGCTCTGGTCAAATATTATACATCCACTTGCAATCTTTCATAGCACTGGGCACAGATATGGAATTATTAAAAGACAATATAGAATATTCTGATTTTAAAAGTGAGATTACAACCAGAGATAAGATGGATAAATCTTTTATTCATCAACCAAAAATGGATGTCTGATTTGCATATTTTTAAATGGAAAACAATAATTTTTAAAATTTCAGGATAACAAAACTCTAAATAACATGTTCTTGCTTTTATTTTCTAAAAATAAGTAGGATATTTTCTATCCTAGAGTCATACAAACATATTTGTATGGGGAAATGTAGGAATACATATGGAACATTATTATTTTTATTTATGGTACTTGGGAAGGAACCTAAGAGCAGTCTACTACTGAGCTACATTCCCAGTCTTTTTATTTATTTTGAGACAGGATCTTGGCCAAGTTTCCCAGGCTGGCCTCAAACCTGTGATCCTCTTACCTAAGCCTCCCAAGTAGCTGAGACTGTAGTCCTATGCCTCCAAACAAGCTTGAGGATTACAATAAGGAAAACTAGAAAAATGTATATTAGAAGGAGAATGGCTAAATTATAGCATACTCATGCAAGATAATCTGTGAAAGAATTAAATAAGAATTCTGGATTATCAATATGACAAGATCTCAAAAATAGCCCTAGATAAAAGGAAAATGCAAAATAATATGTATAATAGATATAAATTTATCAAATTTGAAAAACAGAAAATAGAAAAAAAATCACATTATATTCAGCAAAATAACACAAAAACTCCAAGTATTTAATTTTGTTGTATTTAAGAACTCTGAAAAAAAGTATGGCAAGTTAGTTTTGATAAAGCCTACTTGGAATATATAAGCCTATGTTCATATGTTTCTGTATGCTGAAGTGGTTTGAAATGAACATTAAACATGCATTATTTACTGTACATAAATATAATCATTCTGCAATAAAATGGAATGTTTTGGTACCCATTTAACTTTTATTTTAGGGTATTGAGTATTGAACCCAGGGCCTTCACACTGAGCTACATCCCCAGCCCTCTTTTTATTTTTGAGACAGGGTCTTGCTTCGCTACCCAGGTTAGGCTTGAACTTCAAATCTTTCTGCCTCAGCTACCCAGAGTACTGGGATAACAGGCATGATCCACCAAGACTTGTTTCAATTTCGTATTTCTGAGACTCATTTAGATGATATATTGAAATCTACTTTAATTGCTGTACACTATTTTTCTGTTATATGAATATGCCACACTTTATTTTCCTATTACAAGCAGCACAGTAACATTCTTATACCTTTCATGCATATGCACAAACACTTCTTGGATATAAAATCAGAAAGAAATTGATGGTATTATATATGGTATACCCATGTTACAACTTTATTTATTTTTTAAAATACTGCTCTGGCTTCCTTTTATTTGATTACCAAAATTTTCCAGATAGTAGCTAATATTTTAGTATGCCCCACATCCTTTCTGGTTTCAATAATTTTCTTGCATACAGGGTATGATCAGAAAATACAGTGAATGTTTAAATAAAGAAAAAAATTTTAAAGGTAAAAGAACATCACCATTAATCCCATTCAAACTATTCTCTTCATTTCAAACACTTATCCCATTGTTCTCATTACTTTCTGAAGCAGTTCTGAAAGTTGTCTTTAGTGAATATCTTCAGCTGTGTTAAGGTGGCTGCCTCAAAGTCCTGAATCAATTCGAAACACTTACCTTTCATGGTCATTTTGATTTTAAGGAAGAGCCAGATTCCCATAATGTCAACTCTGGTCAATAAGATGGATGAACACACACACTGCAATGTTTTTTACAAACCTGTCTTTCCACTGGATGGCACTCGGCAGTAGCATTCATTATATACTTTTTAAAATTATGTCTCATAAAAGCACTCACAAAAGAGGAGTTGCAGATTTGCTTCAGAATGTGGCAAGAATGATGAGTTAAGTGTGTTCGAAACAAAGGGGCGTTCTTGAGGAGGAATCAATGGCAATGTGCATTTTATTGTAATAAATTGCTTTATATTTAAACATTCACCATATTTTTAAATCACCCCCTGTACTTATCAAAGTCTTTGTGAACCTAGCGTGTATTATGGTAAAATCATAATTTAAAAATTGCACACTGATGAAATTTAAAAGAGCTGTAATACCTATGGGTTAAGTATAATGTAGTAGAAATCCACTAAAAAATTGCTGCCAAATTAGACATACAGAAATATGAATACTTGGAAGAAAAGACTTGGAATCATAGTAAGATTCTACACTCAGATAATTAAAAAATATCTTTAGATTTCAACTTCATTTTAATCAAGTGAAATCAGTATTCACGTTTTATAAATGTAATTTGTTCAACAAAGACAATATGGAAATGAAATAAAAATACACACTTAAAAAAAAAAAAACAAAAAAATAAAACAAAACAAAAAAAACCCCAAAACTTTTGTCCCTCTGTCATATGATTATGCATTTAGAGATCAAGTGAAAATATTTAAGTAGAAGGTCTTAGGTAAGCAGATGTCTAATCCCAATTACGGGGTGGGGGGTGGGGGGAGCTAAGTCCAAGTTCAAGGGAAACCTGGGCAAATTAAATGAGATCTTGTCTCAAAATAAAATTAAGTGCTGAAAATGTAGCTCAGTGCTCCTTCAGTTCAATGTCCAGCTCTACTAAAAATTAAAAGAAGAAGAAAAAATAACAACAAAAAAGTTTACAATGTTTATGGTTTGTTTTGCTTTTAAAAATCAGCATCTGCTTTACTCATCTTTTTGACTGACCCATCTACTATTGGATCCTGATGCAAGGAAAAGAGAGGGTTATGAGACTGCCAATTGTTCTCCAAGAATAGTAAATTCTGTCATATGAAACGCCAACAGTCTGTTTTAGTATTTATTTTACCCCTTTATAAAAACAGAACTCACAAGCACATAAACAAGAGAACCTACCCTTTTCACATTTGTCTTCTGAAGTATTGGTCAAAAGTGGTGCTGTGAGGATATGCATACAATGGTTGTAGAAGAAATTCAGAAACTCACTTTTTTCAGTTTTCTGAAACATACAGAATTTTGAAAAATTATTACCGTAATTAAAAAACACAAACAATTAGCAGTGCAGGTTATACATGAACAACAAATACTTTAAGATACTATGAAAGAGCCGGGCATGGTGGCGCACGCTTGTAATCCCACCACTTGGGAGGCTAAGGCAGGAGGATCACTGTGAGTTCAAGACCAGCCTGGGCTACATAGTGAATTCCCGGTCAATCTCAACTACATAGTGAGACCCTTTCTGAAAAAACAAAAACAAAAACAAAAACAAAAAACAAAAACCCCCAAGATACTATGAAAGAACCCAAAACTGGTTAACATTCACATCAATCTTATATCTGCAGCATGAAAATTAACCTATTTCATGTTATATAATAAAAATGAAAGCAAAAGGACAGTATTATAAAAAATTTTTACACAAAAATTGAGAACAATTTTTTTTCAAAGATGTCAGTGATTTGAAGAATGACTGTTTCAATTAACAGCAATTTATACTGCATATCCAAAAATTCTTAAGAGTAGATTTTAAGTATTCTTACCACAAATGAATGATTACGTATAAGGTAAAAACACTCAAATAACTTGAATCAGAACAGCATGCACTATAATCACCACTGCTGATCATTTGTCTCTCATTGTATAGAAGATTGACATTTTCCCAATATAAACAAGAACTATATAAAATTGTCATCCTTAAAAATATGACTCAAGGGCTGGGGATTTAGCTCAGCAGTTTGGTGGCCTGCCTTGCAAACGCAAGGACCTGAGTTCAATCCCCGGTACCAAAAAAAAAAAAAAAAAAAAAAAAAAAAAAAAATCAAAAGTTAAAAAACAAAAATATTTAAATATTTTCCTGAAGAAAAAACATTAAAAAAAACCCAAACAAACCAAGACAGATAATTAAACTTAACTGCTTAAAATTTAGAATCTTGTATTTCACTACTTATCTGAATTTCAAAAAATACTGAATTGAGAGCCAGGGATTTGGCTCAGTGGTTCTGCCACCTGCCTTGTAAGCACAAGGGCCCGAGTTCGAACCCTGGTACCAAAAAAAAAAAAAAAGAAAGAAAGAAAGAAAGAAAGAAAAATTACTGAATTGATTATCAAACCATTAGATGAAAAGATGAAATTTAGATTTGTTCTTTAAATTTTAAAAGTCTGTGTTTTTCATGCCGAAGATTGAAACTAGACCTGTATCTTTCACCATGCACTAACCTAAACTAAAAATGGATCAAAGATCTAAATATTAAAACAGACAGTTTAAATCTGCTGGAAGAGAGAATAGGTAGAATGCTTGAGGACACAGGAGTAGGCAAAGACATCATGAACACAACCGAGACTGCAGGGGAAATATTACAAAGAATCAACAACTGGGATCTCATCTTACTAAAAAGCTTTTACACAGCAACCAAAACCACCAACAGAGTGAAGGGACAACCTGAAGAGTGGGAGAAGATTTTTACCAGCTATTCAGAAAAAGGACTATTATCTAGAATATATAAAGAACTAAAAAACCAGAGCCATCCCCTCAACCCACCAATTTAAGGACCCAATGCAATAATGGGCATGTGAAATGAAAAGACGCATCTCAGAGAAAGAATTAGAGATAGCAAATAAATACATTAAAAATATTCAATATCACTGGTCATTTGAGAGTTGCAAATTAAAACACTGAGATTTCAACTCAATCCAGAAAGAATGGCTGGTATCAAAAAAATCAACTAGTAACAAATGCTGGCGGGGTTGTGGGGAGAAAGGAATACTGCTTTGTTGTTGGTGGGAGGGCACACTGGTGCAACCACCATGGAAATCAAAATGGAGATACCTCAAACAACAAAGATTAGAAGTCCCATTTGACCCAGCTGTTCCTCTGCTGGGTCTTCCCAAAAGAATTTAAAACATCATGCCACAGCAATATACACACACCCATGTTTACAGCAGCACAGTTTGTAATAGTTAAACCTTGGAAACAGCTCAAATGCCCACCAACTGATGAATGAATAAAGATGTAGTTTTTTTAACACAATGAAATACTACTCTTCCATAAAAGATGAGCTTCAGACATTTATAACTAAATGGATGGACCTTGAGATTATACTCTTCAGTGAAATAAATCAAACACACATGTTTAAATTACACTGTTTCTCTGGTGTGAGAAAGGAGTGAAATATATAATGGATGTTGGGGAATAGAAAGAAAGTGTTCAAATGGAAAGAAACTTCATGGAGTTTACTGTCAGTTTTTTGCTTACTTTTCAGGTTTGTACTATAAGGCTTAATAATAAAAATGAAGTTTTTTGGAAAAAATAAATTGAAAGTTTATGATTTAGAAAACACCTTTTACTTTTTGCCACTCATTTTTACATAATTGGGCCGAGAAGCTTAACAATTATAAAATTATTGATGCATGTACTCTCTCATGAGTGAATTTTATTATGGAAAATAACCCTTCCACACTGAAATAACCATTTATTCTGGAATACTTTCTTAAATCCTTTTTTATGACTTAAGATCCTTCAGAATATATTCAACTTTTTCTTTTCTTATTGTGATAAATTTAGTTTTACCATTTACAATTTTGAAATATACAGTTTACATTGCTGTGAATTTTTAAGAAGTTAACATGTAAGAAGCCAAGAACCATAAATGGTATTCCTAACATTTTATTAAGATTTAACCAGTTACAACCTGGTATTTGTTGCAAAGAAAGTTGCTACAAGAATACTACTGCTACTTAAATACCAAATGTATAAATACTTATGGAGATATGTTTTCTTTCTCAAATTTTATTACAAAACCATCTAAAACTGATCAAGAAAAAACATTTTAATCTCAGGGTAATTTCTTACATTAGTTGTAGCCAGCATGTTCTCTGGATCAATTAGAGTACGAAGAAGTCCCATTAACTGAACTGCACCTCCGAGCTCAGGATCAGTGTCACAGATCATTTGTTCAATTACAACATTAATAAGAAGGATATCCTGAAAGAGAACATGCTTCCATTAGATCACGTTTGGACATACGACAAATATGCCGATTGAAACTGTCAGAATCATATAAAGAATAAACAGAATGTAAGAGTTTATTTAAAACTTTTCCTTCTCAATGTTCTTCAAAGTTCTATAAACAAAAAGCAGAGGCACCTCAGTTTTAAGGGAAGTAGAAAATGACCCATTACCAGTAACTTGTTCCCTGGAGGCTCCAAGGGATTCTTACTCTAGATTTTACCCTCAGGCATAAATCTAGTAACAGACTGAACAAGTAGAATCACACATCATATAATCCTGAAACAGATTTTTCAGCCTCTGACAAAAATGAATAAATAAGTAAATAAAAACCTTTCCTAGTCTCCCCGGCCCCATAAGTAACAAGTGCCTATAATCTCAGCACTTTTCAAAACTTTTTTACCTGTAGACAAGATCTCACTAAGTTAAAGTTGCCCAAGCAGGGCTCAAACTTGAAATTTCCCTGCCTCAGCCTTCCCCAAAGTACTGAGATCACAGGTATGTACCACTACACCCAGTGATCTTAAATCTTTACAGGGTAACCCTAATGAATTAATTCCAATGATAGGGCATAAAAATCTATTCCCTCTTAACCAAGATACATCACGTTAAGGTACAAGACCCCAATGATGAATGTAACTGCATTGTATACCTAAAATGTACCAATAAACTTAGTGGAAAAAAAAAATCTATTCCCTCTTAAAAGGTCCTAACAACTTCCTCCCCATTAGTGTCTATTTATTTCTATGATTTTGTTTTGCTCCTTTTCTCAAATTGCCACTGTAGTTTCTGCAGGTATAATCTTCAATTCAGACTCAATCTTTAAATGCCAGTACAATTTATCTACAGTATACTGAAAAGGGGGTTCAAGAGGAGTCAGCAAACTACAGACTACCCTGTTGGTTTGCCTGCTTTGTAAGAAAAATTTTATAATAGAACATTTATAGGAACAAAGCCACATCCACTAATTTTCAGTCAATGTCCAGTTCATGATACAGCGGTAAAACTGATTAGTGGTGATAGGACCATAAGACTCACAATGTCACATTTACTATCCGGACTTTAAAAATAGCAACAAAGAAGTAAATTTAACAAGTTTCTGGTAAACATCTCAAAGTTTTAATTCTAAATTACAATTTTTAGAGAAATGATGTTCCTTCCCGCTCCCCTTTCTTTTTTTGGGTACCAGGGATCGAACTTAGGACCTTGTGTTTGCGAGGTAGATGGCACCACTGGGCTAAATCCCTGGCCCTTAAAGACAAGCCACAGCATGAGAATTTTGTTTTCCTTCTACCAGGGATTGAAATCGGGTCTTTGTGCTTGTGAGGCAGGAAGCAGAACCAGTGAGCTAAATCCCCAGCCCATGATGTTCCTTTTTTATCATCTGCTCCAACTTCAAACCATTCTTAAAAGCACATGCAGTACTTTTGTTATTAAAGAACATCTAAGCAGGCTTAAGAATTCTGCAATATTCCCCTGAAAATGAACAATGTGGGAAGTTTGGGATAGCTACAAATGGAATTGAGAAATTACCCAGATTTTGAGCCCATATCTCTTATTTTCTGAATGGGAAATATAATGAACAATTTATTTCACTAATTCTGTAGACAGATTTCCCTAAAATTTTAATGTCTTGAGCCAGCAGTGGCGATACCTTGCAATCCCAGCTATTTGGTAGGCTGTGCTAAGATTATTTCAAATTTGAATCCAGCCTGATACTGTCTCAAAAAATAAATAAATAAATAAATAAATAAATAAATAAATAAATAAATAAATAAATATAAATAAATAAATAAATAAATAAATAAATAAATAAATAAATAAATGAGTTTGGTATATAGCTTAGTGGGAGAACACTTGCCTAGCATGAGCTAGGCCATGAGTTCACTCTCAAGTAGTGTGAAAAAACAAACAAGCATTTCAAGATTGTGATACATCTTGTAATTGATGGCATTATATACTCACTATCAGCCACGCAGGAATCATAAGAGATTTACACAAAAATTTTGTACTGATACTTTTTTCTGGTAGGATCAAGAAAACATTAGCATTTGTGTATATCAGGTTTTATGAAGGCCGTAAACAATTATGAAAAAGAAAAATATGTCAAGTGCAGGAAGAATATCCTAAATTTAGTAGAATAAAAATTGCTGGACTTCCAGTTTTTGAAATATCAATATAAGATTACCCCCTACTGCCCCAGTTCTAGGGGCTGAATCCAGGGACTTCACACTAAGTTACATGTCCAGCCTTCTTTATTTTTTTGAGATAGGGTCTTACCAAGGTGCTGAGTTGCCCAGGCTGGGTTGCAACTTATGATCTTCCTGCTTCAGCCTCCTAGAGTGCTGGAATTACAGGTGTGAACCACTATACCCAGTTTGAATTTAATAAAAAGCTCCTCCTGCATATATTATAATCTGAATGTATGTATCTCCAATACTTCACTCTGACATATTAGAAGCGCACAACAATACCTCCTCAGATTCTACATTAGAATTTAATTATTTAATTCCCTAAGTCTCTGAAAAGGAACAAACAGCCTGGTCCAAGAAAAGCTCAACTGATTTTTTTTTTCAGTACTGGGGATTGAACTCAGGACCTCATGCTAGCGAGGCAGACATGGTGCCACTGAGCTAAAATCCCTGGCATAATTTTTAAAACATAGTATACTTCCTGATACGACACACCAAAGTAAACATTACTTCTGAATCACTCCTGCCACAGAGAAATATCTTGAATATATTCATTAGGAAACATGAAACAAATCCAAATTGTTGGGATACTGGATCAGAAACTTCGTCTTGATTAAAATGGACATTACTGGCACAATTAACAAAACAGGAATGTAAACTACAGAAAGCACTGTGCCATCATTTCTGTACTTCAATTAATGGCTCAAAAATAAAATATGTATGTATGAGTATATATATATATATATGTATATATATATATATACAAGATTAAGCAATGACAGAATCAAGGTGAAGAACATATACGAGTTCTTTCTACTGCTACTGTAACTTTTCTGTAATTTAAACACTACTTTTGAGCTGGGCATGGGGGGGGCATGCCTGTAATCTCTGCATTCTGGCAGGCCGAGGCAAGATGATTGCAAGTTTAAACCCAGCCTGAAGAAGTTAGGGAGACTCCGTCTAAATTAAAAGTGAAAATTACATAGGGATTTAAAAGAAAAAAAAGAAAAAAGCAAGATTTAAATAAAACATTAAAAAAAAGGAGGATTTCTGAAGAACAAAAAGTGATTTGTTGAACACAAAATACTGAAGTCAATGACAGGTTATCTTATGTATTTTTAATTTTTTTATGGCAAATCTCAGACATAATGCAAAACCAAAGAAAATAACAGACTAAATCCCACCCATCATCTAACTTCAATACTGTATCTTCAATACTAAATCTTATCTATACCCTAACCAGTTTATTCATATCCTCCAGAATTACTGTGAAGCATACTTTATGAATTATATTGTAAATAGTTTAGCATGAACCTCTAAAATTGAATTTTAAAATAATAATACCAATACTACTATCATATTTAAAATTAATATAAATATATTCTTAAATGAGAAAATACTAGCCAAAATAAGTTCAGTTATAACTGTACTACTTATTCTGTGAAATTCTACAGTAAGTTTTAATGAATACTTCAAAGGCCATTAGCATAAAAATTTATGCACTCTGTGGCAAAACAAAAAAACAGCAATTACTGATTGCTAAGTGATACTTTTAGCCTGTGTAGAAAGAATGCTAACTATAAAAAAAGTTAATATTTCCCATACCTTAATATTTGAACTCTGAAGTACAGTAAGATCCCCATGTCAAAAGAAAAGAAAAAAGAAACTCAGAAAGGCATTAGTCTTATGCATTAAGTATATGTAAACAAGAAAAGTACTGCTAATGAAAATGAAAGTCAAAGCTTTAAGAGTTAAGAACTTTAACTTTACAGTTATGGTGTGAGATTTATGGTCATTTTATAATTAATTCCTTTACATAAATTGCTAAGAATAGAGCAATGGGAGTGATCATTTCAGTTATCTTTTGCAAAAGACAACAATGAAATAACAACAGTAATTATCAAATGATAAATAAAATATGCGCTTATTTCTTTAAAATCAGATTCAACATGTTTTTTTAAAAGTTAAAATATACTTTATGCAAAATTATTTTTCTATTGTTTAAACTACAGTAATAGACAAACTGATTCTGAAATTTATTTTAATAAATGGAAGTAACAAAAAAGTAAAAATGTAAGCAGACACTAAGGAATTGGATATGAAGGCTGGAGGTGTGGCTCAATGGTAGAATGCTTGCTTAGTATGCACTGAGGTCTGGGTTCAATCTCTAGCACCATTGCCAAAATAAAGGGAAGACATTAAACACAAAACATACAGAGCTATAATTTAATTAAATAAATCATGCAATCATCAAATTAAAATTCAGAATCAAACTATTTCCTTAAGGACTTAATTATACTTCAATTAAACTGTACTTCAAACTTTAAATTATCTTTAGTAGAAGACAGAGCACTTAAATTACAACTCTGTTTATTTTGCCCTTAAAATATTTTAAGGCAAGCTGGGCATGGTGGTGCAATCAATCAATCAATCAATCAATCAATAAATAAACAAATAAATAAATACATACATACATACATACATACATACATACATACATAAATAAAATGTTAAGACAAAAAATTTAAATATTTCTGTAGTGGCAAGAGACAAAACTGATATCACTATTAAACTTTCATTCTCACTTAAAAAAATGAACAAATGAAAGCAAATTCTTAGCTACATTAGATAAGAATCTGAACTGCAAATCTTGTCAGGCAATGAAATTATATTTCATTAGCCCTCTTTAAAAAAAAGAATCAGTATTTAAAAAATCTGATCAGATTGTTATACCAATACTGAGCTGAATGTTTTTCCTCTGAAATAAACTAATCAATTGCTACATATTCTGATTTTGCCAAAGTCACAAATTAAGGATATGGTTAAGCTTTCTCTCACAAGTCTGTAAACAGTACTACCAGTACTCCAAAGTCAATTCACATGGAACTGCAGTGTTATTACTTACGTCATCACTTTGCTGGGCTTCTTGCATCACAAATTCTCGGACCATAGAGGGGCTAAATTCTACTAGATAAGAAAATATATCTGTAGCAGCTGATCTGACTTGCAAATCATCCATGCCCTGATAAAAGGAAAGGAAGATTACTTAGTAACTGTTAATAAAAGTTATTCCTTGTTCAAATGGGAAGAACAAGGGAGGAGGGAGGGAGAAAGGAAGGAAGGGACAAAAAAAAGTGAAAATAGAAGAAAAAAATGGAAACAAAGCTTTTGTAGCAAGGACAAGGGGAAAAAATGAGAACCAAGACTTATCATGTACAGGTACAAGATCCCAACAATGAATGTAACTGTACTGTATCCCTAAAATGTACCAATAAACTCAATTAAAGCTGGAAAAAAAAAAAAAAGCTTTTGTATATAGAGAGGGAAGACTGCTTGAGGGGGCAAAGGGATAAAATAAAATTTATTTTTAAAAAAGTTATTTTGTGTTTCCTTTTTCTTTCTCAAATCCATGCATTACTTCTCAAGTAATATCTTAGATTGAGACTTTAAACTGCAATTAAAGTACATAATCTCTCCATATTTTGGTTCCTGTCTTTTTATAAATACTTTAATTTTTGGGCAGGTCACAGATTAGTTTCTGTTGGTTTTTTTTTTTAAACCATTAAAAAGAAATATTTGAAGATTCTTCAAAAAAACTAAAAATACAAATTACATTGAATCCAGCTATTTGTCTTTAGGTACCTTCCCCAAAGAGTTAAAGACATCATATTGGAATGATACATATCCATGTTTATAATAGCCCAGTTCATAAGCTTAATCTTGGAATTAGCCTATATATCATATTCATCAAGAGATGAACAGAGAAAGAAAATAAAGTATTTAGACACAATGGAGTACTACTCTGCCATAATGGATAAACTTGAGTCATTTATAGGAAAACAGATACAACTAGAGGCCATAATGTTAAGTGAAATAAATCAGACACACAAGCTTAAATATTGCATGGTTTTTCTTATATGAAAACCCCAAATATAAAGAGCAAAAAAAAAAAAAAAAAAAAAAAAAAAAAAAAAAAAAAAAAAAAAAAAAAAAAAAAAAAAAAAAAAAAAAAAAAAAAAGATAGGTAATAGGTTAATAATAGGAAGATAAGACTTTTGCAAAAGAGAAAAGGACCATAAGATAGAGCGAGAGTGGGGAAGGGGATGAAAAAGAATTAAGATGTTATGTACATGTACTAATTTTGCAGGAAGAATGTGGTCATTACGTAATGCAAACATGTCCTAATAAGAAAATAAAGTGAAAAAAAAAACCACCCCAATATGATAGATTTCAAAATGACTAAAAAGAGTATCAAATTCCTAAAAGACAAAACTGACTAATGCATAAATATTATGCCTCAATTTTATAAAGAATCACATATAGAATATTTGCAATAAAAGTCAATCTCAAATTATATTTCTAAAATGAAATTATTTTGTTTTGTTTTTTGTTACTGGGGATCAAACTCAGGACCTTATGCTTGAGAGGCAGGCAGGCGGTGGAGTCACTGAGCTAAATCCCTGGTGAAAAAATGAAATTATTTTGGAAGATGAAAAGTTCTATGCACTTCATGATCCAAAACACATAGAGAATATTCTGCCAGTTCATTCAGCATCACAAGGCATTGGGACAGATTTGAGTCTGACTGGTCTTTTAGTCTGATGTCCTTCTTGCTTTATTGTGAATGAACTGGACTAGAGGAGCAAAGGACCTTGCTCAAGATCAACATATGCCAGAAGCAGAATCTGCCATCTTTGTCTTCTGTTGTGAGCTTGCAGGGGGTGTTATCCCCCTCCATCCTTTAAGAGTAAGCCACAGTCCAATCATAAGTCAGGGCATGATGCTCCTGAAAAAAAAAAAGCTTTCTTGACTAGGGCAGCACTGTGTGGCAGAATTTTCTACAATGAAAATTGTTCTGTATTTGTCCTACCCAATATGTTAATTTCAGTACCCTGGGAGGCTGAGGCTGCAGAAAAGCAAGTTCAAGCCTAGTTTGGGCAACTTAATGACAGCCTGTTTCAAAATTTAAAAAAGGGCTAGGAATATAGATCCACATAACAGCTCTAGGTTCAATAGAGAAAGAGAGAGAGAGAGAGAGAGAGAGAGAGAGAGAGAGAGAGAGAGAGAGAGAACACGAATGAGCACAGGATTATAAAGCAATGCTTTAAACATGCTGTCAAAAAAATCCAGCTAGGAGCTTGGGACACAGCTCAGTGAAGTGAGTGCCTATCACCCAGAAGGCCCTGGGATTGATCCCCAGCCCCCCACAACTCCCAAAGGATTTATTGGAATATATGCAAAAACAAGCAAAGAATGCTATCTTCAGCTAAGGCTTTAAAGGTTACCAGCATCTGTCTTTCTCCTGGATTTGCCATGTAACTGAATTTGTGCCATCACTTGCCTAATAGAAGGTGCTTTGAAAACACTTTTGGGCTCTTTCTGGGCATTTTTACCTTCCCAAAACTTAATTTTCTAAGCCAATAATTTTGAAAACAATCCTTGCAGTCTTCAAAGTGTGGCCCTGAAAATCCTAGCAAGGGATCTAATAACCTTTTCAGGAAGTCTACAAGGTTAAAACCATTTCATAATACATAATATTAAAGATTATTTATTTGCCTTTTTCAGTCTCAATCACAGGAGTGTTGTTTTCCAGAGGCATTATAGTGACACCACACAAATTAGATACAGAGGCAACGATGAGAATCTAGCTATATTCTAAGCCAGACATTAAAGGAATTAGCAAAACAGAAACAAAACAAAACAAAACAAAAACAAAAATAAAACATTGCCACTCTTCTCACTAAATTATTTTGTTTTAGAAAAATTATTTTTTCATAGTTTATTGATATTGACAATGGGTTGCTTATTTAAAACGAATACTACTAAAATTTCTCATTTTAATTTTTCATATAGTAAATGTCAATGGATAAAAATAATACAATTGGAAAAGGGACCAAGAGATGGAGGGAAGAGGGAAAGCTAGGAGGGTAAAAGGTAGTAAAAAGAATTAAGATGTGTTATATACATGCACCAACACTATAAATATGTATTATTGAAAATTTTTAAAATTCATGAAGAAAACATAACTTATGTATGAGAACCATGACCTAACCCTCAGTACCCTTTTGGGCTATTGGTCCTTCCTTACCCCACCCACTGGTCTATAAAGAAAAGATATTTTACTGCTGTTTATAAAATGTCCTTAACATTGTTACAAAGAAGGTTAAGTCTTTCAAAAACATGAGGGATTTTTATTCACCTGAAGCCATATTACATGAAAATGATTACCTACTGACATAACAAATTAAACAGTAAATAATCTGAAAATTCAAAGTATTGTGGTAGCACAACAGTTGAACAATAAACTATAGAATTCAATATGCCATACCAATGCACTCTGTGTTTCCCCTGAAATAAGACCCAGCTGGTAAATAATCAGCCTTGAAAACTAGAGATCAAAAATGTCAGCCCTAATGAACCTATCCTTGCCTTAACTGCCTTATGGAGTAACCAATGAGCAAGAAAATAGTGATGGCAGGTAAGGTAAAGATAGGCTGATAGGGGCTGGCACTTTTGATCTCTACATCTTATTTTTGGGAAAAGAGGATATATATATGTGTGTATATTTATATATGTGGATATATGTATGAGTGTGTGTATATAAAGAATTCAATATGCTTCACTGTAATAAATTGTTTCCTATTCATAACATAAAAACCTATTGCAAACTCACAATTTTAAAAGCATTAAAAAAAAAAAAAACACCATATAATTACCATTACGATTTCAAGTGCAGGAAGAATTCCCAATTTTGCCAAAGTTTTGAAAAATGCATCCCTGTTTTGAGGCTGTAATGTTTGAGAAAATGCACAAAATTCCTTGGAAAAATTGACCTGTAATGTTAAAAAATTATAGTGAGAAATTAATATTCATAAAAATAAATTAGGGTACACTATTTTAGCCATATAGTATGGGAATCAACCTTCTAAAGTATCTTGTTTTTTACCCCCACAATATCCTAGCTCCTCAAACCCTACATTAAAAACTAGCATTCCATTAAAGTTTACCTTCCATTATTTCTCAAACACTGAATCTCTCTTAATATATTACAGTGCAAAAATGCTACATAAAGCAAGTGCATAGAAACTGCCCTATCATAAACTGGCTGAGTTCCCACTGAGCACTCTAAAACATGATACACTTTGAGGAACTAAAAGGGATATTAGAGATTCCAGCTTATAACACTAATTCTGCAAATAAGAAAACTGGGTATTTTACTGATAACTACCCAAAGATGATTCAGAAATTTTTATTTATTCATTTTTTGAGACAGGGTCTTAATATGTAATTGAGACTGACCTGGAACTCACTATGTAGCCCAGGCTGGTCTCGAACTCACAGCGATCCTCCTGCCTCAGCCTCCCAAGAGTGCTGGGATTACAGGCGAACCACCACGCCTGGCCGATTCAGAAGTTTTTAAGTCAAAAATCTTTCATTATTTTGTACAATACACAAATCCATTATGTTTGAAAAAAAGGCAAACATCTAGCAAAAACCAATCACTATTCTTTCCTTGTAAAAAGCTTATATTTTGAAAAAAAATTCTTATAAAAGTAATAAAATATGAAAAATATTTCAAACACACCAAATGATTTGCCATTCACTTTGTCAAGAAGCATTCTCTTTACATCTCCTGTTTAAAAAGGAAAGCATCTCTAGTATGTAAGTACCAATAACTACAAAAATGTCTTTGCAGTATTATCTTGATATAAAACCATCTATATAATTTGGGATTTAAAAAGCATTCAGATTCCCTCATTGTGGGGGTGGGGGGGGAAGAGTTTTCTAAAATATATAAAAACAAATTTTTAGAAATTTTGAATGGTCACTTCAGAGTTCAATTTACATACATTTTTTATCACATACTAATTATAAATCACATCCTAATTATAAACAATTCAACAACTTCAAGGCTAAAGGCTATGCAAGCTAAATGAGTAAGTCCTGTTTAAGAATTTGAATCTCAACAATGACTTACCAATTCACGCCGTTTATCATCATCTGTAGCCTCATCTGTTAACTGTGCAAAAACTTCAGACAAAAACTTTTCGTCTTCCTGCATGAAAAGAAATTGCTATAAAATATTAGTAAAAGTAATAATTTCTGATTCATATAAAATATTGTAAAACCAGATGAACATTAGCATTTCATCATAAAACCTAAAATTTTAGAGTACAGAATCTAACTAGAAATATCACTATTAGAGAATGCTTTAGAAAATCCAAATAGATATTCTAGAGGTAATCTGGCAAACTAATTTAATTTTGGAATCTTTTCTAGTCCTCTTTCAGGGTCTATTTCTTTTCTTTTTTTTTTTAAGTTTGGGTCTATTTATTCTTAAAACACAATTCAAACAGGTCAGATCTCTCTGCCATTTCATAGACAATTAGAAAACACATGGCACAGGAACAGCAATAAAGGAAGCTAAATCTTGGCAGCAGATAAGATTAAAAAGCCGCTCAAAACACAAAAACTCATAAAATATAATCATCATCTCTGCCCAACTAGAGCATTCTCATGTTGTTATCTCCAAGAATGCAACTAAATGACAAAATACTATAACTTCATTCTGACTCTAAAGTATTAAAAGTCAGGTAAGTGTCAATTTCCTAAGCATTATTTAAAAGTACAAACAAAATACAATAAACTATGTAGAGTTTTTTGGTACCAGGGATCGAACTTGGGCCCTTACACTTGTGAGGCAGGCAGTGGAATTTCTGAGCCAAATCCCCAGCCCCTGTTTTTTTTTAATAGTGACAAAGTTTATTTGAAAAAGTAAATGTAAAAAGTAAGGGAGAAACTGGCTTGAGCTAAAAAGAAGAGAAAAAGTACTCCTTGGAAAACACAGGGCAGGCTATTGTGAGGAAAGCCATAATAGATTAAATTGTGTACTTTTAAATATAAAATTATGTGTGAAAGTATAGAAGGTTTACACATTAAAATACTAATTTGGTGACAGATTATTTGTTTTTCTGTACTCAAATTTCTACAATAAGTACAGTCTATGAATTACAAAGGAAAAAAATTGACATAAATATTGAAATTCATTTCACAAGATCTACATCAAAATCTGCTAAAAGAAAACTGAATTTATCAGTGCTTTTAAGCTTTACTTACATCTTTAAAGTTTACTTTTATGAGATGCAATTTCTATTAATTTTAATTAAAGTGGTATGTTTTTAAAATGTTCACAGCAATAAGATCTGCATGGCAGACAGCAAAATCTAACCATAATATATAAAGGATATATTTCAAATACTTATCATTTTCCTACTGGGGATTATCCACTAAATGACATGAATTTCTTAAGTCTTTTGTGAAAGATGATGGAACATATATGAAGAAATACATGAATGAAAAGCCCTCTGCACAATCATACAAGTACATAGTTCTCTCACTAAACATCAGTGGGTGCAACTCAAACACAAACACTGTGAGATAAATCTTTTCATTAGTCTGACTCAGAATGCTGTTATTTACAGCATTGACTCCTTTTTATCATTTTGATAAAGAAGTACATATTTACCTCTACTCACATCTTTAATAATTTTTATCTTCCTATATCTCTCCCAGATTAAATCTTCATTCTTTCCTGTCTGAAGATTTTTAACGTTTTTCAGAATATTCTCATAGAATAAAGTTCCAACGCCTTGATAAAAGTAATTTCCCATTTAAATTCAATTCTTCTTATATGGTTCAGTACTTGTGAGTTGATAGCTAGAACTGTATAAAATATTATACATACAGGAAATCTCAAGTATTATGTAATTTTTTAGGAGAATGCTTTCTGACTGCTAGTATATATAAATATTTTTAATTTCTAGCATTATTCTTCACTAGTCTTCAAGCTACAAAATTAATGTGCTTCAATGTATACAGCAGGGCAACAAATGACTTGATAACTTTTAAAGGCTATCATATGTCTTTACAAAAAGACAGGTCTTTTCCTAAATCCTTATTGTCCAAATAATTAAACTAATCCTTTTAGACCACTTTCAGTTTACTTCTCACTTGAGTTTTTGTTTTAACAAAGTATAATTATGTAAGTTAAATTGTGTGTGGCTATTCTTTCGGATCACAACAAAATGCGAACAGAGGCTTCTATAAAGCCTGTCAAACTTCTTTTGAATTTAATGTAAAATCAAGCAAAACAGTATAGCGAACACAATGATCATTTAAGAATGACTTAAAACATCCTAAATTTAAAATTAGATCAGGCTTTATAAAATTACTCAAGACACTGTTTAGTCTAAATTTAACCTGCAGGAGACTGAAGTCTAAAGTGTGGACTTATTTGAGGCTAGTGACAGAATAAGCATTTAGAATCTGGATCTTTAAAAAAATGTCCTTCTTACCAAATCAATTTCAGGATACCTTCCTAAGTTCAAACTTAAGAATTAACTACAGCAAAACACACATAAGTTAGAAAGGGCCAAATCTAATAAAAAAATTAAATATGGTAAACCTTTTACCTGAGTTAAAAAAAAAAAAACTCTTGAAAAGAATCATACCATAGCAAACACTTTTTAAGGCACTTGAAGATTTTACATATTTAATTAGTAAGAAATGAAAAGTTATTTCTCTCAGTGCTGAAACCTCATTATTTACAAAGTAGGTAAATAAACAAACCTAAAACCACAAATTCTGAGTTTGCTTTAAATTCAACTCTTACCTAGCACAGTAGAAATACCATGTATGGTATGTGTTAAAATGTCAACATTTGAGATTACTGTCCCTAAACATTTCTAGTAAGGGCAGAAATTAAAATTTCCTCTTCTTAAAAGGATCTTATTCCTTTACTGTTCATGTAGAAGTAACCTCACTTTATAGGCCATTAGGAATTTAATTTATAAAATATGTTTGAAGAATCTTTCTAAATTTTAGGAAATTCAGATCTGTAGTTAGCTAGAAAATTCAGATTAACTAAAATCTGATGCCCTTATCATATCTACTTTAGACAACAATGTCAACATGTGTTATATAATACATACTAGGAGCCACGAATGACATTATGTGTTTTCATATAACTTCTCAGTTAACCTATTTTAGGCTATTATTTACATAAATCTTTCTACTACTAAATCTTGGTCCAGTTAATAAACGTTTACATTTTCATTTGCCTTATTTAATTCATGTAATATCATTCAGTCATTTGAAAGGCCACAGAAATGTATACTAGATAGTCAGAAGGCTGTGTGAACACATCTTATATCTAGCCAAATATCTCTGAGTTGAGCTTTTGGAATTGAGAATTTCAAGGCCATTGGCCACAACCTTAGTTACTTTTCTCATGGATTTTTTTCCTCATTGAGTTTACTGGTACATTTTAGGTATACAGTACAGTTACATTAATCACTGGTCTCATGCATTTTTAAAAACAGAACTGAGCATCACTACTGCATATATAATTAAGTGGTAAATCTCAGATTAATAAAAGAGGTAGTAGTTCACAGTATTTGCCTACTTCATAAAATGTATCTTCATGGACCAGAAAAGAGGAAGACTTGTACTGGGTACTAAACCTAGCACTTCACATGATAAGCAAGGGCTCTACAACGAGCTACAACCCAAAATTTTCTTTCTTTCTTTTTTTTTTTTTTTGGTGCCTGGGATCAAACTTGGGTCCTTGTCCTTGTGAGGTAGGCAGCAGAACCAGAGCTAAATCCCCAGACCCAACATTTTCTTTTTTAAAAGCTTCACTCGATTTATACTACTACAGCTTTTACAAATGTATTCTAAAGTATAATATAAAATGACAACAATGTGCTACAAATGTTTATAGAAACCCTCTAAGTCAGGGCCGGGGATTTAGCTCAGTGATTCTGCTGCCTGCTTTGCAAGCGCAAGGACTCGAGTTTGATCCTCGGTACCAAAAAAAAAAAAAAAAAAAAAAAAAAAAATGACACCCTCCAAGTCAAAAGTAGTCATTTGAAAAGTACATTTGAGATTCTGACACTAGGTTCTTCACATCAATTATAGAATGTGATTCTATTTGCAGACTCTATTTTGTCAGCAAGTAAAATGGTACTCTGAACTGTAATGCATGATTTAATTTAAAAAAAACTCGTCCTACATATATGAAAAGAATATAATGTGCGTTTAACCTCCCTCACATTCATTACTGGGGAATAATAAAAAAACTCATTGGGTAAAAGAATGATCTGAAAAAATATATCCTGTATAAAATATAAGCAATAACAGAAAGATTAATATTGGTTGGAAGTGTCATAATATAGAATCTAATAGTTAAGTAGTATGTCAGAGGTTTTCAATTATTTATTTACAGGGTACCTGTAATAACTCTAAAAAAAACTTAAGAGGGGCCTCAATCATTTTCATTATATGTATTATGCTTAGTATTTATCATGATTAAAATTATAATGAAAGCATTTGAAAAAGTTTCTAAAATTCTGTAAGCCATTACATTTATATAAAATTTTAAATGAGAAACAACTATAGGATCCAAAATTTAAAAAAAAATTTTTTTTTTGAGATAGGGTCTCACTATGTAGTTCAGACTGCTCTGGAACTCACTGTGCAGCCCAGGCTGGTCTTGAACTCACAGCGATCCTCCTGTCTCAGCCTCCCAAGTGCTGGGATTACAGGTGTGCGCCACCATGCCCGGCTAAAAATTCTTTTTATATTGTTGCACCTCTTTAATACTGGCTTAACAGAAGACAACTCCCGTATTCAATCTACTATGACACATGGTTTTGGCTGAAGTATATACAAAAAAAAAAAAAAAAAATACAGCCTCATACTAATATGAAGCTGGAAAAGGGAAAATCTTAAGTGACTCATCCGAAAGGGTTTTGCAGTCCCACATCCACTGACCATACTTCATGAACCACTATCCTAAGTACATATGTAGTAGCTATTAAATGAACTCAGTAACTGATAAGGAAATAACAAAGGCAGTAACACAAGACACCAAGTATAGTCTACTATCGCAAGTAATGTAAAATCTTCAAAGGTATGCTTACTATACTATTAAGATATTAAAGAGTAATATAAAACACAATATGAAATTTGTATTTTATTTTGTTTTGTTTTTTGAGACAGGGTCTCAATAGGTAGCCAGGCTGGCCTTGAATTAGCTGCAATCCTCCTGCCTAGGCCTTCTGAGTAATGGGATTACATGTATGTGCCACCATGCCTGACAAAACTTGTATTTTAGCAAGGAGACAGAAGAAAATCAACTTCATGTAGTCAATAATTTAACCAATTACCATTATCTAGATTACTAAGGGCCAGGGATTTAGCTCAGCCCCGCCTTCCTTGCAAGCACAAGGACACAAGTTTGATCCCCGGTATTAAAAAAAAAAAAAAAAGAAAAAAATTACTGAGGGTTTACTTAATCGTGATTATATGTCTGAATTATCTGTGAAGTTTTAAGCACACATACTCATAAGCAAACCAATAACTGGTTCTCAAAACAGAGTAAAAGCTGACCCCCACCCTATACTTTGTGGTAACTGGTGGTGAAACCCAGAGTCTTTGCACTGAGCTAAAACTCTAGCCAGGCTGCCAGCCTGATGCCTGACTGCCTATCATCTATCTATCTATTTTAAAACAGAGTCTCATTAAGTTTCCTAGGCTGGGCTAAAACATGCAATCCTCCTGCCTCAGCCGTTCAGACTGTGCTAGGAATTACAAATATGCACCATCACATCTGGCTGGAATAAAAGATACTTTTAAAAACAGCTGCACAGGTCTAGGGTTGTAGCTCAGTGATAAAGCAGGTGCCTAAAATTTGCCAAGTTTTGGTTCAATCCCCGGCACTGCAAAAAACCCCAAACATCCCAAAACCAGAAAAACAAAACAAAAGCCACCAACAAAAAAAACAAACCAACCCCCCCTACAAACAAAAACAAACAAAAGAACTGTGTCAGGGCCAGGGAATTGACTCAGTGTTCCACCTCCTGCTTCACAAGCACAAGGGCATGAGTTCGATCCCCAGTATAAAAATGAATAAATAAATAAACACATTAAAAAACCAAACAAACAAACAGAAGAACCGTGTCATTGGTATCTACAACAGGCAAATCCACCAAGATGGAAAGTAGAACAGTGGTTACCAAGAGATGGGAGAAATGGGAGAAAGTTACTGTTTAATCAATAGTTTTTATTTGGGATGACAAAAAAAAACTGAAAATGGAGGCGATGATTATTATGTAACACTGCATGTACTTAATGCCAATGAGCTGTATATGTACAGGTGGTTAAAACTGTGAATTTTACCTATAACCCATCTCAATTTTAAAAATACAAAAATTTAAAATAACAGCTGTATCATGGAATACTTAAAAACAGAATTGTGAAGAACAGCACTTACCTGCAACATGCTGACTATCTCAACTTTGTTGAAGAAAATAAAAGATGTAAGAGTAGAAAGAAAATTCTCTTCAAAAACAGACGGCATAGGCAAAATGATATCCTGAATATACTGTACCCTGTAAGTCTGATGTATTTTTTGCCTTAGTTCAGAGTCTGTTATTGGTATAACTTCCTTAAATTTTGCAGTTTTGGTCAAAAATTCTCTGTGTCTTTTTGGCTGGGCCAAAGCAGGATCATATTCAAGGCATCCTACGACATCCATGATACACTCATCAGAAAACATTACCTCAAAAAGAGTTGCTTTATTTAGAAATAAGATTCCTCTAATAATTTCATACAAATGGTGTAAGCCTTCAGTGTTTTCTAAGTTCTCACAAGCTTGAAACAGCTGCAGTAGTTTTTTAATGTAGCCTTCATTTTCCAAGGCCAGAGCCAGCTTTTCCCTTCGAACAGGTGAGGAGAGAACTGAGGTAACTAAATCAGCAATCTCTTCAAGTTTACTGAGTTCACACGTGGGCAGGTCAATCAAATGACTAGTTTCAGGCATTTCTTCAAATCGTTCTTCTTCTGATTCATCAATGAGGTCTTGTGTGACTTCTACTGATGGGTCCTTACCTTGAACCTAAAAATATCCAAGTAAAGATGGTAATCTTAAAATACAATATAATTTAACATTTTGGAAATAAAATCACTGACTATTAAATTTAAGTAAAAATACCTGCATGGAATCAATACTAGTAGTACAATCACTATTAATTAAAAGTGAAATGGGAATGGGGTGGGGATATACCAAGTTTCATTCTTTCTTTTTATTTTCCTCATTGATATAGGTACATTTTAGGTATACAGTACAGTTACATTCATCATTGGGCTCTTGTACCTTTACATGACAGGTCTTGGTTCTCATTTCAAGGTTCAAATCAATTATTTGAATCTTAAATAACTAACTATAGATTGTTTCCCTTCCAAATTTCACAACCTATAAATTCTGGTTAACTCTGATCCTTAATCATTTGAGTATTTCATCTAGTATTATGTAGATTTATGAAGTTAATCCTGTAAATCATGTTAACAGTAACACACAGTTGTTTAATAATTTTAAATAACATAGAAGGCAACTCTTCTGCCTCCCCCATCACTAAATGTGACAAAGTGACCTACCACACCATCACATTGGCCTGATGAGTACACCACTAAATTCACACCAAACTAAAACATTATCCTACTCTTCTTCTTCTTCTTGTTATTATTATTTTGGGGTGGGGGGTAGCAGGGATTGAACTCAGGACCTTACGCTTGCAAGGCAGGCATGGTGCCATTGAGCCTAAATCTCTAGCCCTATTCTTTCTATTATTAAAAGAGTAAATATGATTTCTTCAAAGTTCTTTCGAAGTTAACTTTTGAAAAAATACTTGCTTCTGCTGCAAATCTGAAACTGCTCTAAAGAAACTGTCTACTTAAAATGCCATTCAACTTTTGTGATAGTCTTTAACTTCTAATATCTACATAATTAGAACACCATGAAGAGAGCTATTATAATTTAGATTGACAACTCAAGCACAGCTAACAAATTTTCAATGAATTACTAAACAAAATTTAGAACTTTATTCTTCATAAAAAACTTTCTAATTAAAAAAAAAAGAATTAAGACCTTTTATGTAAGAGTGGTTCACGGGAGGGAAGGAGATTTGAGAAATAAAGAATAAAAACTTTCTAACTGTGACACAAGAGTATAGCTATCTTGCCTTCTGTACCTCAAAACATCTGGAGTAGAAAAAGTTTCACATGTTTCTTTACTCACCAAAGCAACCCATAAAAAAATCAAGAAAAAAACAAAACGAAGAGCTTTAGAGAGAAACAGATAAATGGACATACATGATTTACCTCTTTTCCTAGAGAGAACAGAGTACTTTTGAATTCTCCAAAGGGTTTCTGGGTTTAGGGAAACTGACACATAAGAGAAAGTTTAAGCAGCAAGGCTATAGAGCAGTGCATATAAAATGCATTGGGAATTGAGAATTTCTTCCAGCTTTCAAGATGTGCACATGTGCATGTTGGAGGCAAGTATCATAAAAGCGGTGCCATTTGAGATGTTGGAACTATGTGACATGCATGACAACAAAACTAGAAATGTAAACTGAAGGCAGATAATAGAAAGTCAAGTTAAATGATGAGTTACTTTGGAGGGAAACATGCAGAATTTTCAAAAAGTTAATATGGTACCAATCATATGGGATAAATCTGAGAGAACAGATTCTCTACCCTAAATAAAATAGATTTAAATCTTATGTCCAACTAAATTTGGACAGGTGGTGGAACACACATAGATGAGGAGGAGTTACAAGAAGAGGACTCACAAATGCTCCTATACCATTAAACTTGTCATCGGAAGGATTATGACTTCTTAAAACAACAACAACAAAAAACTGGAATCATGGGAGAAGGAACGATTGGAAGAGACTGGTTTTCCTAAATTAAGTGTTTGAATAGTTAGCTTGCAAATAAACCCATGGGCTTACTATTCAGGAAAAAGAAAAGAGCGGAAGATATTTTAGAGTAAGAGCCACAAGACTGTAGAACAGTAACAAGAAAAACAACAATGGAATACATAATTAGAAAAGAATAAGAGGTTTTAAGGAAGAAATAAGTGGAAATCAGATTAACAGACATTTCAAATGAACACAGCTTATGTTTAAGAATAAACACATAGATCCATAAGCATTAATTTGATTATAATATTTATCTAGTATTAATTCTGAAAATCTTTCCAGGCTCAACTTTGATCTGATCTGTCAATCCCACACAAACCCATATATCTACATAAACAGCATCAGTGCTATCCACACAGTATTTCTGATTTTCTGTATTTGGAGACACATGAAGTTACTTATAGCTGTGTAACTTCCAATGGTTAATCAAATGTAAGCAAGAGAATCATATATAATTTCTGGGCAGAATTTCTTTCTTTTTTTTGGGTACTGGGGCTCAAACTTCTGGGCAGAATTTCTAAAAGAAAGGTCTCTGATATGCTACCTTTCCTTCACCCTCTGCATTAAAATGAATTCTTTATCAGCATGGTCTCTGAGTAGCTCCCAGAAGCAGAGCCCCTTCCTTTCCACCATGCCCTCACTGATCAAACAAAGTGAAACCAATTCAATCCAGAGTTAAAAAAATATAATTTACAGAACATTATGCAGCAGTGGGGAACAATATACTAGATGCAAAGTCAACAACATACATAGATCTTAAAAGTATATTCACATGTTGTACAGTAAAGAATTAATCTTACTGGATTAGTAGAGTAGCCAAACCTAATATTACTACCAAAGGTACAAAAATTTGCATAAAAATCAGTGACAGGGCTGACAGTGCAGTTTGTAGGTAGAGCACTTGCTAAGGTGGGAAAAAAAAGACAAATGGAGAAGAGATAATAACAAAAGGCTAAGTAATGAATAAATGGAAAATGCTACAGAAGGAGATCCAATATTAATACCTGTGCCTCAAGAAAGATTAAGAGGAAGAGATATCACTTCCTAGTTCACTTAGACCAGATGCCTGCAAGAATGAAACCCTATGTTTGCCAAGACCAACTTTGCTTTCAGAAAGTGATAAGGGCAAAAGGGAGCCTATAACCTTTGATAAGTGACATTACTCGAGGAGACATTTTCTCATATAACATGATGATAAGTTTTATTTTTGGGCTGTGGATTTAGCTCAGCGGTGTCGCCACATGCTTTGCAAATGCAAGGACCCAAATTTGATCCCTGGTACAAAAAGAAAATAAAAATGGATTGTTATTGATGGTGCCTACTGACTTTTACTGTCCAAGTTACAACTAATATAATGCTCTAACACTGGCCTACTACTGGAAGTTCAAGACTGAAATGCTTCTGGGCCCTACTGCATGTGCCTTATCCTGTCTGGTGATTTTAATCTACATTATTTCACTGTAATAAACTGTACCAGGCATGAAATGGTTTGTTGGTTCTTTGAATCTTTCCAATGAACTACTAAACCTGAAAGTGGTACCAGGAACCTCCCAAACTGAGTAAAAACATTACAAGATAAATTTTAGCAAAAATTTCTAGCACAAATGTATAAAGTAGTCAAGAGTAAATGTGTACCTAAACCAAATGAATAATTAAGAGATGAGGCTTTGGACAAGATATAATCTTATATGCTAAGCACTGGAAAATGCTATCTACCATACAAATAAATGTTTTAGCAGACATGTAAGTTGGCATCCTAATTCTAAATAAGATGTATGTCTTCTGCATTATTCATTATTTCTTTAAATATACTGAGATACACGAAAATGCTAGTTACCGTGCTGGCATTAAGGAGAGGAGAAAGAATATAAAATAAAGCATTCCTTTTTTTGAACTTATAATTGAGAAAATACCATTTATATATTACTGTTAATATTCTGGACAGGCTCATAAACATCATTGTAGTGTTTTCTCTTTTTGTATGATTTAGTGATTTTTAATAGTTTAACACTCTATATATGCTTTCATTATTTACATGGACCAACTTTCCCCTTTTTTTTCATGGATGAACACATAATCCAAGCTAATCTTGAATCAAGAACAAAATAGCAAATATTAGTTGAGTACATCTTGTCAGTCTACAGTTCAGGTTAGTTTTAGGACCTAATTTAAATCTCCTCTTCATAGAAAACTTTGCACACAAAAAATTCAACTCAATCCTTAGAGAACATATGGGAGGAAAAAAGGTTAATAATCAGGACCCTTACCACCGTAGTCTAATTTTAAAAACAGGAAAAACACAAAAGCAAACTAATAACAAAACCATTTCAATTTTATTTTGTGTATTTTGCATAAACTATGAAAAAGCTAGTGTTAATTATTTATCAGTTGGAGTTTTGCTATGTAATAATGCACACTCATTAGTGCTCAATTAATACATGATGCACAGTAAGATACAAAATAACAAAGAAAGAAATCACCCACTCCCAGTTAGGAAGTTCACTGATCCAGGGCCACAAGTCAAATAATACTCATAGGAAATGGGAAGGTTCACAGTGTATTTTCTCAAACCACTTTATTACACTGTATAATATTATTGGGAGGACCAAGAGAAAACAAATGATTGTAGTTAGATCCATAAAACTAATTTGAAAAACTTTAGTGTTAAGAGTCACTATAGTGGTGGTGATGGGATCACACAGCAAAAAGCTCATGTAAATGAAAATGACACATACACACAAAAAACCCAGCCACTATAATGAATTGAAATAGCAATCAGTGAAGCATAGTAATCTCTCCATTTAGAGAAAATGAATGATATGATTAATTTAAAATCCCAATTACCAAGTATCACAGCCAAGAGAAGCCTAAAGACGACAAAACATGACTAATAAATGCAATGTGGTATTCTGGGGCAGAAAAAGAGGATTAAGGGAAAGCTGAGAACATCTCAATAAAGTATGGATGTTATTTAATAACAAGAATGCACTGTATTAGCTGAGTGTTGTGATGCATGCAGGAGGATTGCTGAGAGGTCAACGACAGCCTAAGCTACACAGTGAACACAAGGTTAGCCTGAACTACATAGCAAGACCCTGTCTCAAAAAAAAAAAAGAAAAAGTACTGTATTAATATTAGTTCTCTAATTGTGACAAATATCTTTTATGTAGCTAGGCAATAGGGTTTGTTTGAGAAGTGGGTATATTGGAACTTTATTATCTTTTCACTTTTTTGTAGATACAAAAAATGTTCTAGGCACACACTTGGCACACACTTGTAATCCCAGTACTCAGGAGGCTGAGGCAAGAAGATTGCCACTAGTTCGAGACCACCCTGGGCTATATAACAAGTTCAGGGCTGGCCTGAGCTACATAATAAGACCCTGCCTCAAGAAACAAAAATGAATGTTTTAAAATACAAAGGTTTTGTTTAAAATATTAGTCACCTGAGAGTAACCACATATCATATACATTATGCTACTCTTTAAGTTCCATATTAGTTGAAGCTGTGAGTACTTTTGATCTTTAGTGTCTGGCACACAATATTCATAAACATTAAATAAACATATGACCAACTATTAGAGAGGGAAAAAAATCTAAAAGCCTGAAAACAATCATTTAATCCTTCTTTTGTGTAAAGATCTTGACACTCTATAGGGAATCAGTTATTAATGTATTCTATCAAAATCTAAAGTGGTAAAAAGGATTCTGATGAAGTTTTTATTTTTGTTTTAAAATTTCAAATGAAAGAATTTGCTACAGAATATATAAAAAATTCCAGGATGGGAATAGTTGTGGTGGGTGGTAGTGGTGGGTGTAGCTCAACTGCTAGGCCCCAGGTTAGAACCTGGGATAGAAACAAAAAATCTCATCTAGGTTGTCAAATTCTCATATTAAGATTTTTTTTCACATTCTAATAGAAATCTTGGAAGGAAAGGGAAAATAAAATTCAAGACAGTGCAAACACAAGTTAAATATTACAGAAAGGATCTTACCTGACAGATTTTTTCCCAGATCTCATCACAGCCAGCTTTTTCTTGAAAACTCAGAGCCAGATCATAGTTTTCAGCTTCTGACCAAACAATTAATGTATCCTGTTAAGAAATAAAGATTTCTACACCATCAAACTGGAAAAGTATCTACAAGGTGTAAATAAAAATCAAGCAAACTAAAAACAGAATGACAAATGCCCCTTGCTAAGTACAGTAAAGGTATATTCAGTTGACTTCACAAAATTATACAGTATTTTGTTACCCTTTGAAACTTTAGTAAATGAACTGGCAATAGTAGCCTGGCAGGTAGTAACTTTGGTAATAAAAAAAAGACACTGAGCAATTTCCTAAAATGACTGTAATCTCAACACTGAGGAGACTGGGGAGGCTGAGGAAGGAGAACTGCCATGAATTCAAGGTGAGCCTGGGCTACACAGTGAGTTCAAGGCCAACCTGGACTACCTAGCAAGATCCCCTGTATAAGAAAATAAATAAATAAAAATAAAAATCATAAAACAAGAAAATTTTTAAAACAGGTCAGTAGGCACTAGTTGATTTACCAATTTAGTTAGGGAGGAGCTAATCATTCTTGGTCAAAATTGCAATATGGGTATTTCAACCACCTACTTCCTGTTGTTTTGAGAAAGCCAGCTATTCCAATCATTAATGACCTACATGCTTAACTTTTCTGATTAGCTGGCTGAGAACTTGCTAAATGTATGCTAACTAATGCCCAAAATATGTTAAGATTTAATAGTACTTTTGGCTTTTTTTTTTTTTGAAACCCGGAAAAGACCTACAAATATTAAGAAATGCAATCTAATGATAAAAATCAATCTCTTCCTGGCTATACTTCTTGATATGGAAATTTGCCACCCAAGTTCTCTTAAAATTTTATCAGGTCCTGACACTCTTCCCACCATCTATAGAAAAGAAATAACAGTAGAAGTGTTTACACAAAATCTAACAAAGAACTTCCATTTTAGAAAAGCTCAAGACAGACTGATTCTAGTCATTAGTTTAACCAACCAGGCTCCTTGTAATCCCTGCTTAGCCTCATCTTAGAGCTTTCCTCAAAACAGCTTCATGAACAGTGATGTCCAAAACTTTGTGCACTTATATGTATACATAAGAACACAGTATCAGCGGAATTTTGTAAAACACACTACAGCAGAAATAAGAGGGTTATATAAAGACAAAATAAGCAAAATTTTTGAGTTTTTGAGGTATAATGGCTCCACAGTTGAGCATTTTAAGACCCAAATTATATTGAGGGCATAATATACCCCTAAATGATACATGGGTATTTAAAGATAATCCTTTTAGAAACTGAACTTAAAAAAAAATTTTTTTTGCTTTTTTAAGACAGGATCTCTCTATGTAGTCCATGTTAGTCTTGAACTTACTATATAGGCCAGGCTGGCCTCAAACTTGCAGTAAGCCTTCCTGTCTAAGCCTCTGAAGTACTGGGATTACAGGTATGCACCTCCACACTCATCTAGGAGGGCAACTTCTCTCAGAGCTATTACATCACTGTTTTTGTTTTGTCACAAAGCTGATAGATAATACCAAGAGTTTAAATGAAAGTTTTATCATTTTGTCTTCATTTGTACTATTACTGTTTTAAACCCTTTTTAAGGTACCTGTCCATTTTGATAGGAATAGCTTGGCTACAGTAACTTGCAACAGGTGCAAAATACTTTTCATAAAAATGTTATTCTTCCCTCAGAATATTATGAATTTTTTGACTCAATCACCTGATTCACTATTTATTAAACACTAACAAAACTCATTATCGGCCTGGGGATTTATTAGCTCAGTGGTGCTGAGCCTGCCTGGAAAGGGCAAGGTCTGGAGTTTGATTCCTGGTACCAAAAACAAAAAACAAAACAAAACTCAGTTATCATCTTTTGATAAACCACAGAAACAGGTTTTCAAATCTCAATGCTTCATATTAAATATTCAATTTTGGAGATCACTTATACTACAAAATGAAATCCAAAACCCTTCAGCAGGTATCCAAGGTCTTTCCATTCTGTTTCTAACCAACCTTCTAAGAGAGAGTATAGTAAACAATGAAATCTGAATTAAGATAACTGTTAGTCAGGCGTGGTGGTGCATGCCTGTAATCCCAGCGCTCAGGAGGCTGAGGCAGGAGGATCACTGTGAGTTCAAGACCAGCCTGGGTTACATAGTGAGTTCCAGGTCAGTCTCAACTATATAGTGAGACCCTGTCAACAACAAAGATAACTAAGTGCCCCTTTCCATCATTTTCTTCTGTTATTTTCTTCCCATTCTTAACCTACATTCTTTTTCCCCAATCCAGTCAAAATCTAAGAAATTCAGTGGAATTTATATTGAGTCCTTTCAAAATGCAAAGAGGAATGACCTTGGAAAATGGTTAAGAATCCTTACTTTCAGGCTGAGGGGGTGTAGCTCAGTGTTAGCTTGGGTTTGATGCCCAGCATGGCCAAATGAAAACCAAAAAATAGCTTAGGGCAGTGGCACATGCTTGTAATCCCAGCATCTCAGGAGGTGAAACAGGAGGATAGCTGAGTCTGAGTCTGAGGCCAATCAGGGGAGCACATTGAGACCTTGACTCAAACCAAACCAAACCAAACCCTTATTTTTATCAGGGGTCCCAGGTAACACTTTCGATATGCCAAGTATGAGAAATGATCTAACTGTATCTTAAGTTAATTTAAAAAGGGTAGGCAAGTGTCAATAAAGTTGGGACTTTCCAGCTCCATGTTACTCTAAATGGGTGACAAATCCTATCCATCTATTTATTGCTCTTAACCCCAATAAAATACCGAGAAGAAGCACTTCTTAGAATTGTTTATTTTCGAAGTATCAGAATAAAAACTATTAGGAAGAGAGCATAGAAATGACAGAATATTTAAAGCAGAATGGAAGCTGGGCATGGTGGTGCACGCCTGTAATCCCAGCACCTAGGAGGCTGAGAAAGGAGGATCACTGTGAGTTCAAAACCAGCCTGGGCTACATAGTAAATTCCAGGTCAGTCTCAACTACATAGTGAGACTCTGTCTCAAAACAAAACAAAACAAAACAAAAACAAACAAAAAAACCAAAACCAAAAACAGCAACAACAACAACAAAAAAACCCAGAATGGAAAGTGCAGCATCTTCTGCAAATCTAAAAAGCCTAGGTATAGCCAAGGTCAATTTCTCATAGTAAAATCTGTTTTCAACCCTGCGCTTTGTTATTGATATATTATTTACTTAGCTATGCATGGCATATAGTTTCATCTCTTTGGGACATTATTCATAATTTAGTTTAAACCAAAAGAAGCTTAAGAATTTTCCTTAATATTTAATTATTACTGTGCCTCTAGGGAAATCAGATTCTAATTGATTTTGTAGGAAGAATAGAAAAAGGTCAGTTATATTTGGTAGAGTCCTTTAAAACAATTAAAAAAGGTGGCTGATTATAGGCCAAGTGTGGTTGTGCATGCCTGTCATCCCAGCTACCTGAGAGGCTGAAGCAGGAGGATGGCAAGTTCCAGGCCAACTGGGGCAATTTACTGAGTCCTGATTCAAAAATAAAAAGCGATAGGGAAGTAGCTCACTGCACAGACCCTGGATTCAATCTCTAGTATCACAAAATGACCAACCAACAAACAAAAAAATCCCTACCATTAGGCCATAGCTGAGTATTACTTAAATCATGGGCTCTTAATTTAGAGTCTAAACGGCACCTGAAAATTTATTAAAAACCTGGTGCATACTAATCTTTTTAAAGAAAAAGTCTCCTGTCTCATAGGCATCGTAAAAGGTATAACCCTCTCCCTCCCCATTCTTCCCTTTGTTACTGATCTACTTCATTAATGAACTTTAGTCATGAAATATTTGAGTTTCTACCATTTGTCAGACTAACTCCATATTTGTTCCTAACTATTCACACAAAATTTAGTATACATAGGGCTGAAGTGTTCCAAAAGGGAAAGTGTGTGTATGTGTGTGTGTACATATATATATATATATATATA